GTTTGGGTATGAAAAGACTCTACCCTCTAAGGGCTCAGGTTTGGTCATTTTTTTTCTGCTGTGTGCATGGGGTTCCAACTTCCTAAAGCCCGCCTCTGACTTTGTCTGTTAATGGTTATCCTCCTCTGCTTTTCCCCTCTACTCCTCAGCCCTTCCTCCTCGGCCATTCCCCCTGCCCCACAGTCCTGTTCTCCTCAACTCTCTCCCCATATTCTTCCCCTTCCCTCAACTCCATCTTCACTCCCCAGCCCTTCTGATCCCTGGGGGACATCACAGCCCTGCCTCTGGTAGCAAGGTACCTGGAAGACGAATGACATTGTTTTGTAGCACTGCCAAACTCCCCAAAGAGGAACTGTGGTTGATTCAAAGGGGAGTGGAAGCTGAAATGGTACCACCATTGCAGTACGTAGGAGCATCCCAGTGCTGCTGACAGGTTGAGCCAACTGGAAGAAAATCAGGGACAGGTGTCCCTTTCCTTCCTTTGCATGGGGTGGTGGGTGACAGCCTCCCAGGCCTGCATGCAGAGGTCTGAACCCTGGGCTTGCACTGCTAGGCAAGCAGATGCTCTGGATAAGGTGGCAAAGCTGTTTGGTCTTATCCCAGAGATAGGGCATCTATACAAACAGTTGCTGATCCACTGGTCCCTGTGACAGAGGTGGCTTCCCTGCTACAGGGGCCAACCTCACCAGTTCTCGCAGGCCGAGCTTCTGTGGGGCAAAAACACCACTGATCCTCTGGGCATAGACCATCCCACCTCTGGGCATAGACCATCCCACCTCTGGGCATAGACCATCCCACCTCTGGGCATAGCTCCCGGAGCAAAAATTAAGTCCCTATAAGTGTTGGGTATGAAAACAATTTGACACTCCTGGGCTGGGTTCAGGTTCAGGTCAGGCTTTAAACTTAGGCCCAAACAGACCTCTACAAAGAAGCATATAGTCTTGACAACCCAGGAGGCTCACACTACAGCCAGTCTTATTTTATTATTCAATATAAACATTTAAGGGCTGGTATACACTAAAAAGTTAGGTCAACTTAACTACATCACTCAGCGGTGTGAAAAAACGTGTGGAAATGTAATTAAACGGATCTAAGTCCAGGTGTAGGCACTGCTAGGTTGATGGAAGACCTAGCACCGCCTCTCAGAGAAGTGTATTTACTACAGCAACCGAAGAACCTCTCCCATTGCTGCACAAAGTGTCTACATTGCAGAGCTACCATAGCACAGCAGCATTTCTAGAGTAAAAGAAAGACCCATATATTGCATTAATGAAGCACATTCAACAATATAGAGAACTACAGCTCACTAATTCAGCTACAGAACCAGAGCTATTTTATGCTAATATTCAGCTCTCCATTCTATATCAGTCTTGATTGGGAGGTGATGTAGTTTACTGACCGCAATATAACATTTTGTCCCTAACAAAATCAAAGCACTGTCATTCAGCAGACATAGGCAAAACACCAACCCTGTTAGTTTAGAAATTAAATCAATTATGGTGAACGAGCATCACTTCAGGAGAGTTATATTCATGCTGTATATTAGCCAGATTCTCAAGAGACAGAGCTCCCTATAATATTCTTAGATATGAAGAGCTAGCAAAGTCAGATGGCAATTTAGATAGGAACATTTCAAACTAACAGCACACAGGGATTTGGTCAGACTTTTGTATGTTCTACCTCTGTAGAGACCTCAGCTATTTATGCTTAGAAATATAAATGCAAGCTAAGGAAAACCAGCATCTGTTCACTTTGAGAACAAGGATTTCCCAATGTGAAGCAAAAATTCAAAATTAAGACTAAGTCAGATCACATTAGTTGGGGGGGGGGGGGGGGGGTTGTGGCAAAATTAACAGGCAGAGAGACCTCCCAAGTACATTGGACCTTGATGTTTGGGGGAAATTGGCAGGGAAGGAAAAGGGCGTGAGCATAAGGAAATTGCAGTGAACATCTTCACGGCTCCAGAACAAAATAAGATTATCTCACATTCTGCTGGAGAAAGGATGTCAGACTAGTTTAAAAAGTTATATATACACATACACACCCACCTCTCAATATATCAAGTCATTCAATTGCTTCACATGCCTCCCCCTACACAATTTAATATACAAATGAGAGCAGAGATACCTGTATTTTGTAGGAACAAGAAAGAGCAAGGTAGTAAAAGGTTTTGGGACGAAGAGCCCAACATTTACTGTTATTTGCCTAAAAAGTTTTCTGAAGGGCTGTTGTTGCTCTGCATACTTATCACAGTGCACATAAGCTAGATTAACAATCTCCTTCATGCAAATTGTCCCAACAGTTGAGCCCTGTGGCCATGCCAGAGCAATATACAATGCAACATCACAAGGAAGGAGTGCAAAACTTCAGTGGGATGGGCCAAGAGAGTCAGATGCCCAATAAGCACTCAGAAAAAATTAGAAAAGATTGTTTGGATAACCTTTATAAATATTTTTTAAATCTGTGGGTGGCCATAGCCCAATTAGCGCTACTAATACATCAAGTTTAATTTGAGTTGTTGATGGTGTGGGAAAGGAAGGAGAAATGGAGAAACTTTAAAGAGTGAAAGTAGTATTTCACCCTTATAGAATGCTCACAGCTGAAGGAATTTTGTTCCCAAAGAGTCACTTTCAGACTCTGGTGCAGAAAATTTCAGCTATAAGAGTTCTATGTTTTGGAAAGTTAACTGGGGGAGGGAGTCATATTGAAGCAGTTTGACAACCTTCATTACTGCTTTTCACTATAAACATAGGGATTGGCAACCTTTGGCCCCTGGCGGGCCAGGGGCGTTTGTTTACCTGCCGCATCCGCAGGTTCGGCTGGTCGCAGCTCCCACTGGCCGCGGCTCACTGCTCCAGGCCAATGGGGGCTGTGGGAAAGCTAGCACATCCCTTGCCCCATGCTGCTTCCCACAGCCCCCCATTGGCCTGGAGCGGCTAGTCGCGGCCAGCGGAAGCTGTGATGGGCTGAACCTGCGGACGCAGCAGGTAAACAAACTGGCCCAGCCTGCCAGGGCACTCTGGCGGGCCGCGGGCCAAAGATTGCCGATCCCTGCTATAACATATTGTGGAAAGATCAACTAGCTCACAGCTTGAGGAATTTCTTCCTCCTTTGCACAGAGCTCCATTTGTAGCTCATCAGCACCACTAATAACTACAGTAACTCAGTTAACGTTGTCCCAGTTAACTTTTTTCGTGGTTACGTTGCTGATCAATTAGAGAACATGCTCGTTTAAAGTTGCAAAATGCTCCCTTAACATTGTTTGGCAGCCACCAGCTTTGGCCATTGCTTTCAGGAAGAGCAGCCTGTTGGAGCTAGCTGGTGGGGGTTTGGAACCAGGGTAGATCGGCAGCCCCCCGTTCCCCCATCAGCTCCCCTAAGTTCCCTGTGCAGCAGCCACCCAGCAGGCTATCAATTGCTGGGCAGGTGAGCTGTCCCCCTCCCCCCACTGCCGTGTTCTGCTCCTACCCTCTGCCTTGGAGCCTCCTGCTTGCTGTGCGGGGGGAGAAGAGGGGTGCTAATGTCAGGGTGTCCCCCCCGCCCTCCCACTCCTGTATGTCATCTCCACAGAGCAGGGGGGATGGAGGGGACACAACAGGGCTCAGGACAGAGGGAACTTGCTGGCAGCAGCTGCGGTCTTAATTTGCTGATCTACTTAAAAAGGCAATGTACTTAGAGGGGGGTCAGCATACTGAAAAGGGCAATGCATGTCTCACACACACACACACACACACACACACACACAGTCTCTCTCTGTCTCTCCCCCACACACACACGGTGTGTGTGTGTCTCTCTCTCTGCCATGCTGTGTCTCTTCCCTCCATTTGTGCTGCCTTGTAGAGTGTGAGGCTACATTAGCAACAATGTGTTAACCCTTGAGGGCTCAGCTGAGTGCTAGTTCATCATTTAGCAGTAAGGCATTCCCTGGGAAATCTCACCCTCTTACTCTACCACCTCAACCAAGCTTACAATCATGATTTATATATATTTACATTCATTCTTATGGGAAAATTGGATTAGCTTAAAGTAGCATTTTTCAGGAACATAACTACAATGTTAAGCGAGGAGTTACTGTATCTGACTGGGGTCGCAGTTGAAACTAAACTCTGCCTCTCTAGCAGAGATCAAGCAAGCAGCAAGAGATGGAAGACCATCTTAAAGCAAGGGTTCCTGCACATTTCTGTTTAAAACCAACACCACGAGTCCCTTTTTAAATTTATGCTGCAAATGAGAATCTCAGTCAGCCAGTTTGAGCCAAAACTTCAAACCATTTTCAACCGATACTTTGTCATTAGTCAATTTCAGCCACAAACAAGTAAATGAAAAACAAATTCTAACAGTAGCCATTAATATCAGTTGACTGGACATCACTGAACTGTAAAATGAAGACTCAGGAGTGAAGTGTAAATCATTATGAGTAACAAATTTACCAACACAAGTTTTGTAGTGACTGGTTTCAGAAGCTTTTCTTACACTTCTTTGGAGAAGACAACAACCAAAAGGGACAGCATTTTTTTTAATATATAAAGTCTTATGTTGTGAACCAACATTTCTTCAATAACTTTTACAATTCAGCTTGTCACTATTTATGCATCGTTTACTTTTAACTAAGTCTCTCAGCTTGGACACTTAGTTTCACCTTCAGATTTTTAGTATGGCAATGTTTTGTTTTAAACATTCCCCATGTTTAAAGAATTGTACTTTTTAAGACTAAGCTTTTACAGAAAACCTCTTCTAAAGAAAGTTTATTTCGGGAGCAAAATTAAGTTGAAAATGCCCTTTAAAAAATGTAATCCATTTCTGTCTTTTGTAGTGTAGAGTATTTACCTGTGGCACCTGTGCCGTTTAAACTACTAAAGCGATATTTAAGCTGAGGGAAATTAAAGAACAAAATTTGGAAGATAAACCTACACTGATAACATTATGGGCATTAGAAAGAATAGCTAAAAGACAGACTTGAGAGAAACTCAGATTTAAGTTCTCAAAAATACACCACCTACCTTGCTTGCGAACATCTTCCACAGCTGCCACTAGTTCCTCTTTAAGAAACTGACTCTCTTTTGCAATTTTGTCTCCCTTCTCCAAGAAATTCTCTGTTGCTTGTTCAACTGATGCAGCCAGAACATGGGCCTTCTTAGAACGTCCTCTTTTTTTGTTGGAAGGACCCTTGTTACTGGTATTAACTAGCGTTGTAACCTGAAAAAAGGGATAATTTATAGTTGAGATGTATACCGAATAAGTATATGTAACATGAAACAAGATACAAGTTTATCAACTTAATAGCTCGGATTTTCTGAATCAATAGCATATTTGCAATACCTATGCTGACTTCAAGTAAGTACTTAATTGCCAGTAAATTCATTTTTGAGTAGTTTTCATGGTTCTTTTACAAACAAGCATAGCTATATTGTAATTAGACAAGTATGATAAACTTAAGCTAAAGTGCTTAGTGAGGGGTGTGTTATTCTTTTTAAGATGCAGACAAAAAATAATTAAAAGTTAGGTGCATCTTTTTCTGTGCATCATGAAGCTGCAATTTCAGTAAGAGGCCAGGATTTGGATTTGGCTTCACCTAAGAAGAATCCAAGTTTGAAACAATTAGTTCAAAACCGTTTAAGACTTTAAAACATTTTAAAAGATTAATAGGATTGAAGTGGCACATCTACAGAAAGCTAGCTTCACAGTCTTTCTTCAGTCCAAGATAGAGATGAGGGACTTTGCAAGCAAGGTAATTTTGCAGCCAAATTAGAGGACTGCAACCTGTCAGCAATCACTTTTCTAGGTGCAGTTGGTAACACCATCTGTAAGTTTAAAGTTGACTGACACTTCCCATTTTAAGACCCTGTTTTCAGTTGCTTATAAAACTTCACCAAGTTTTAACCATTTTGGCTGAATTTTTCAGAGAATGAGATTGGAGGGGGGCGGGGGGAAGGCAGTCTTTTTACTTAGAAATTTTAGTGCTCCATGCTGTGGAGCAGAAATCTGAAGTTTGGCAGAAGCTGAATGTGTCAGGTATGTGCCTTTTGCCATGCCCCATGGAAAAATTGTCCAAATCTGGCCAGTTTATAAGCTTCTAAGCAGTCTCTACCAAGCATGGGTGAACGGAGACTGAAGCCTGGTCTACACTACAATTTTAGGTCAAATTTAGCAGCGTTACCCTCGATTTAAGCCTGGACCCGTACACACGACGAAGCCCTTTTTTCGACTTAAAGGGCTCTTTAAATCTATTTCTTTTCTCCACCTCCGACGAGGGGATTAGCGCTGAAATCGACCTTGCCAGGTCGATTTTGGGGTAGCATGGACGCAATTCGATGGTATTGGCCTCCAGGAACTATCCCAGAGTGCTCCATTGTGACCACTCTGGACAGCGCTCTCAACTCAGATGCGCTGACCAGGTAGACAGGAAAAGGCCCACGAACTTTTGAATCTCATTTCCTGTTTGGCCAGCGTGGCAAGGTGCAGGTGAGTGCAGATCTCATCAGCAGAGGTGACCATGATGGAGTCCCAGGATCGCAAAAGAGCTCCAGCATGGACTGAACGGGAGGTACCTGATCTCATCGCCGTATGGGGAGACAAATCCGTGCTAGCTGAACTCCGTTCCAGTAAACTGAATGCCAAAATATTTGAAAAAGTCTCCAAGGACATGAAGGACAGAGGCTATAACAGGGACGCAAAGCAGTGCCGCAGGAAAATTAAGGAGCTAAGGCAAGCCTACCAGAAAACCAGAGAGGCAACTGGCCGCTCTGGATCAGAGCCCCGAACATGCTGCTTCTATGATGAGCTGCATGCCAAGCTAGGGGGGTGCAGCCACCACTACCCCAACCCTGTGCTTTGACTCCATCAATGGAGAAGCACGCAACATGGAAGCGGGTTTTGGGGACAAGGAAGATGATGATGAAGAGATTGAAGATAGCACACAGCAAGGAAGTGGAGAAACCAGTTTCCCCAACAGCCAGGATACGTTTTTCACCCTGGACTCAGTAGCCCCTGAACCCACCCAAGACGTGCTCCCAGACCCTGAAGGCAGAGAAGGGACCTCTGGTGAGTGTACCTTTGTAAATATTAGACATGGTTAAAAAGCAAGCTGTTTACTGATTAATTTGCCCTGGCATTCACGGCCAGCACAGCTACTGGAAAAGTCTGTTAACCTGTCTGGGAATGGAGCGGAAATCCTCCAGGGATATTTCCATAAAGCTCTCCTAGATGTACTCCCAAAGCCTTTGCAAAAGGTTTCTGGGGAGGGTGGCCGTATTCCATCTGTCATGGTAGGACACTTGACCACGCCAGGCCAGTAGCACGTAGTCTGGAATCATTGCATAACAAAGCATGGCAGCTGTGACAAAGTTCCTCCTCTATCTTGATGGGTTATTGGCAGATTTTCTTGCCTCAGAGATTCACCATGTGGGTTGGGGAACAGCCCAGAGATCTTCCCCTCTGGAAGAACCCACAGTCCAGGTCAATTGGGAGGTTTGGGGGGAACCCGGGCCCGCCCTCTACTCCAGGTTCCAGCCCAGGGCCCTGTGGACTGCAGCTGTCTATAGTGCTTCCTGTAACAGCTGCATGACAGCTACAACTCCCTGGGCTACTTCCCCATGGCCTCCTCCAAACACCTTCCTTATTATCACCACAAGATCTTCCTCCTGGTGTCTGATAACGCTTGTGCTCCTCAGTCCTCCAGCAGCACACCCTCTCTCTCAGCTCCTTGCGCCTATTGCTCCCAGCTCCTCACACTCGCACCACAAACTGAAGTGAGCTCCT